ACTGCAGTGGTAAAAGCAAAATCCCAAAATTGCAGAGGTAAGGAGGCATGATGAAGAAGAGTAAGGCCAATTTCAACAATATGCTTATGTTTCCTTTCAACCACACCATTTTGATGATGTGTGTGGGGACAAATCAATCTATGTTCTATTCCATTTGTGGCAAGAAATGTAGTAAAAGCTCTGTATTCCACTCCCCAATCAGATTGAACACTTTTAATTTTGGTATTGAATTGAAGTTCAGCCATAGCCTTAAATTGTTGAAAAATAGAGAGTTGCACATTTTGACTTTAAGGGATATATCTAGGTGTATTTAGAGAAAGCATCAATGAAGGAAACATAGTAAATATATCCAGAAAAGGATTTAATATGTGATGGTCCCCACAAATCAGTGAAAATTAAATCCAAGGGGGCAAAATGTACAATTTTAGAGGCAGAAGAAGGAAGTCTATGAGACTTTCCTACACAACAACATGAGCAAAATTCAGTAACATATGTATTTGATGGAAGAAGGTTACATTGAATAAGAACAAGCTTAAGAACATGAGAGTTAGGATGACCTAGCCTAGTATGCCACATAGTGGAAGAGCTAGATACATCAGAATTTTTATTTACATTGGTATTATCTAAAATTGCAGTAGTAGTAGGGGAGACAACAGACTAGGAGGACGTTTCAGCTGAAGAAGAGACCAACATTGAGGGACTTTGGAGCTTTAAATTTGGAAAAGAATAAAGCCCATCAACACCAACAATACCTTGAAGAAGAACCTCATTGGTTTCCTGAGATTTGACAAAACAATGATCAGCATGAAACTCAAAGAAGATACAATTGTCTTTAGCAAATTTACTTACGCTCAACAGATTTTTGGTGATAAAGGGAACATGAAGAAGATTATTCAACTGAAAACTAAATTGGGAGTTAATAGGAGATAAAAAGGAGGAAGAACCAAAACCATTGATTTGCAAACCTTGACCATTTCCTATGAAGATTTGGTATGGACCATCAAAATGCTCTAGCTGATGGATGTTTTGAGGCTCACCGGTAACATGGAACGAAGCACCAGAATCAGGGATCCATGTAGAATTAGTAGCTCCTTGAGAAGAGGTATTAGCAATCATAGCACTTGGTGTGGCATTGGCATGAGCATCTTGGCTGAGCTGTTTCTGATTAGGGTTCACCCAAGTATTGGAGGCTTTAATGTTTGATGAAGAGGTGACCTGCACAGGTTGCAATGTGGTAGGATCATACAAGACAAGAGAGTCTGCAGGTTGATAATTGACATCAGCTCTATAGAAGCAAATATTGGCAATGTGTCCATACTTGAAGCAAATCTGACACTGAAAATTTGCAAATCGACTACCACGATCTCTTCCAGAACCTCTACCACCGCGACGTCCACCGTTACCACCACCTCATCTCTAAAAGATCCACTACTAACACCCCCATGAGAATAACCTCGAGTGTAATTAATGGAAGGAGAGAAAGGTTGCTTACGGAACCTATTAGCTCTTGACTCATGGGCAAGAAGAAGAGCTTCCACTTCAGCAATAAGAGGGGTGATGAACTTACTTTCAATAACAGAGACCACAGGTGCATACTCTTGTGGCAGACCTTCAAGAACAACATCAACATATTCTTCAAGTGACACAGGACTTCCAACTCTAGCAAGTTCATCAACAATGTTTTTTATTTGAGTCAAAAATTCATGCATGGATTTACCATCAAGAGTGGTAGAACGCAAATCAGTGCGGAGCTGACGTGCTCGTGCTTTAGTTTGAGTGTTAAAATACTCATGAACTTTGTCCCACACCTGATAAGAATGAACTGAGCCAACGACACATGAAAGGATGGTCTTCGAGAGCGTCTATTGCAGCCATGTGTGGAGCATTTGGTCCTGGACTTCCCAGGTTTCATATGTTGGATTAACTGTATCTGAATCATGATTAGCATTTGTCAAATACCTAGGTGGAATTTGAGGATTAACCACAAACCGTTAAAGTTTGTGGGACTTGATGACTGGTTCAATCTGTTGCCTCCAGTGAAGATAGTTTGAATCATCAAGTTTTTCAGCTATGGAGTTAGAGAAAAGTTGTGAAAAAGAAGAAAGATTATTTGACGTTGCCATAGAGAAGATGAAGAAGAAAAATTAGGGTTCTAGAGGATCAAAGGCTCTTGATACCATATTAGATAAAAGTAGAAAGAGATAAAAATGTAAAGAGGAACTTCATTTCATCACACTATCAATGAATACACGGGTTCAAATATATATAGGAAACCCTTCGGTACTATAGCAGTAAAAGCAACAGCAGAGAGAGGAAATAAAAGAAGTAATACAGCTATAAAAGTAGCAACTATAAAAGCAACAACAAAGAGAGAAAATAAAGGACAGGTGTCCCTGAAATATTCTGAAGATGTAACAGAATGCAAAAAGTAAAAAAGGCTAACAAACAAATATTCCCTTTTTGTTTTGATTTTATACACTTATATTATTGTATTCACAAAATACGAAATAAATATTTTGTTAAGATAGTGGGTTATAAGCTTAATTGAACCTTACAAAATGACTTGTAATGTGAAGGTTGTCTCCTACCCATGGTTGTCAAACTCACGAGTTAACTAGTAGAATCGTACGAGTCCAGGGAAGAAAAACTAGTTAACTTGCTTTTGGAATCATTTTTTGGTAGACTCAAGAAGATGACTGGAATCGGGCAAAATCACGAGTCTATGAGCGAGTCAGCTTTAGGTCAATTTTTTGCTCCCTAAATGCCCAAAACGACGTCGTTTCAGAGAGGGTTTCTAGTCTCCTCTCTATTTTCTTGGATCTCTCACTTTTTGCATACGAAAACCACACTCCCCCCTTTGGCATTCTTCGATCTACCTCTGTTTGAGCTCCCATAACACCGTCCGGCTTCGTTCTGTCCACCTAGCACCGTCCTTGCAGTTTCTGGCATCATCCTTACAATTTCCAACAATTTGTTCGTCCACACATTTTCATGTATGGTTAAGATTTGTATTGTGACATTTTATTGTTGTTATTTGACTTATTTCAGACTTAGAATGCTGAATTAGTGATATTATATTGTGTGGTCATTATTTAGTTTTTTTTTATAATATTTTTTAATATTAGGTAGACTCTTACGAGTCTACGAATCAAGTCTATGGGAGCTCCACGAGTTTGTGTAGACTCTTAATTTTGACAACCTTGCTCCTACTTATAAACTCTTTATTTGCCTTATACCTAGTTGATGTGAGACTTGGGTTTTTTCTAATACATCCCTTCATGTCCAACACTATTGGGCTTAGTACATGAATAAACGGTAAAAAACCCTTTTTTAATGATCTAGGATAAGCGAGACTTAGATTTTTCCCAATAAACTCCTTCACGCCTGACATGTGTGTAAACAATGGATGGCCCTTTGATGTATCTCAAAATTTGAACTACAACATCCCAATGACTATTACAAGGAGAATTCAAGAATTGACTAACAACACTAACAACAAAAGAGATGTCAGGTCTAGTCATAGTAAGATAGTTTAGCTTTCAATCTTTGTCTCTTTGATACCTATTGGGATTTGAAAGGGGATCCCCTTGATCTAGTATAAGTTTAGCATTTGGATCCATACGTGTATCAATGGGATTGCAATCTCGCATCCTAGTTTCCTCCATAATGTTAAGTACATACTTCATTTGGGAAATGGCAACAAGTGCCTTTGATTGGGCTACTTCAATTGCAAGAAAATATTTTAGTCGACCGAAGTCTTTGGTTTGAAAATGTTGGAACAAATGCTGCTTGAGATGTTGAATACCACTATGATCATCTTCAGTAATGACAATGTCATCTACATAAACAATAAGCTAAACACATTGATAGTAGAAGAATGTTTATAAAAAAATGAATGATAAACTTCACTATGTATCATCCCAAACTTCTGAAGAATTGTGCTTAATTTCTCAAACCATGCTCTAGGACTTTGCTTGAGCCCATATAAGTCTTTAAGTAGCCTACAAACCAAACCATGAGACTTTTCTTGAGCAAAAAACCTAGGTGGTTGCTACATATAAACTTCCTCAAGCAACTCCCCATGGAGAAAGGCATTTTTGATATGCAGCTGATAGAGAGGCCAATTGTGCATGGCTTCTATGTATAGGAAGAGGCAAATAGATGCCATTTTTGCAATTGGAGAGAATGTGTGTCTATAATTGAGCCCAAAGATTTGGGTGTAGCCTTTTGCTGCTAGGCGAGCTTTCAAGCGATCAACCTGACCATTAAGACCCACCTTAATTGTAAACACCAAACGAAAACCAAATGTAGATTTCCCCGGAGGAGAGGGACAAGAGACCATGCCTAGTTAGATTCTAGAGCTGCCATCTCATTAATCATAGCTTGCCTTCAACCTGGATCTGAAAGTGCTTCCTTTACGAAGAACAATAGGAAGGTTAGCAGAAGAATCTGATGGGACCATAGTGGTAGGAGATGTTGGAGCAAGAGCTCTATCACGAGAAACATGGGTAGGAGCAACTTCTAAGGCTCCGTGAGGTCGACATTCATAACTGATACCAAAATGATGCTAAAACTATTTTTCTCTAAACTATGCTGTTAAACATTTGCTATAATTAATATTGAATCAATTTATCTTTGGTTGCTTTGAGTGTTGATTGTTCTTGTTGGTAATAAATAGTTTAGGATGGGAAAAGGCTCTACCTATTCCTAGCCTAAAGCAAATTGCTAACCATGGCAAAGATATACACTTTAAATTTAGATTTTTTATACATTCATTCATCTATTTTGCTTGGTGTCCCATGCTCTTACAATTTATACTCTTTGTGGATTCAAGTAGTAAGCTAACATTCCTAGTGTTCCTACGTTCGCTAGTCTTTATTGAGATTCCTGCAAATTCTTTGTCTTTCACTCTAAATTGTGTTACACATTAATTGATTTTTCACTTTTCAGAAATGATGCTCGAGTATAAAGTTTTGATTTGTTTGATCTTAATTTTGTAGGTTCCTGAAATGGGCTTTATAGGCACCTTTATTGACCTCAGCCAGGGAATGTTGTTTGTAGAGTCTCCACGTTGTAAAGAAAGATTGCAAATCAGGCTTGAGTTAGATGTTTATGTAGATGTTAAAGAGGAGATTGAACTATATGGCCAGAGGTATATGATGTTATGTACATTGTCAATATTCTATATGTATTAATTAAAGTTGACTCTTGCAAAGATATAGTTGTAAAAAAGAAACTGTATATTAATTGTATGTATTATACATTCTCTAATCCCCGTATTTGTAGAGTAAATACTATGCTTAAATAAGGAAATAAGAATAGTAAAAAAAAATAGGTATTTGAATTTAGCTCTAGGAAGTCCTTTTGTGAAGACATCAGCTATTTGAACTCCTATAGGTATATGAGCTATAATTATAAGGCAACCATCCAACTTCTAATCTCTATGTGTTTTGTTCTATCATGCTGAACTGGTTTATGAGCAATGCTGATAATCGAATTGTTATCTCAAAACTACTTCATAGGACCCCCGTATTTAACTTTAAGGTCATCAAGATGAGGACTATGTTAATGAACAAATGCAACACACCCAAACACAGGACATGGGAGACTTAATAGTAGGAGAGAAGAGAAAAATGACAACATGTGTTCAATTGGACTAATACCCTGTAAGACACTAGTGGGTAACTTGTTTATGGGATATGTGGCAGTTAGGACAACTTCTCCCTAGTAGACATTAGGGACATACATATGAAAGAGTAGACATTAGTCTGCTTTGGAGAATTCTATTTCAGTTTTGGTGACATTTATATACTTTTTGGGGGAATCCATGAAGAGAATAACAAGTTCATGGGTGTGACCCATTCTTTTACAATATGTGCATTGAGGATGACCACTTCTCTTACTTCATCCTCTGTTTCCTCCACAATCAGATATCTTGGCATAAGTCTCAATAGGATCGGTTATTACTACCAGGTTTTGGCAGAGGAACTTGAATCAATTGAAGGAATCTCTTGGTTGGTGGTCAAGACTTGATTACGAATATGATTGAATGTAAGAACCAGCACCATGTATAAGTTATCAAGCTTTGCCTCTACCTTCAAGGGTAGCTTCTAAAAATCAATTTTAACTCTTCAACTGCAGATTGGGCTCTTGAGACATAAGAAGTCATGTCCTGATCAGATTGTTTGAGTGTAGCCAACTCATACAGCCTTTGAATGTCGTTGGAAAAACACTTTGAGCTTTCTTCCAAAATGTATGACAGGATTTGAATTTTGAAGGCTCTAAAACTCATCAAGATACTTAGCTAATCATATTGCCGCAATAAGGCACCAAGTTGATGATCCAGTCTTTCCCATTCATTGCGATTTGCTTTTGGAATGTCATCCATAGGCTTTTGCAGGTGTTCATAGTATCTGTGACCTAGAAACCAATGCTTAACAGTTGCCAACCAAGCAAAACAATTCTTTCCATTTGACATTTTCTAAGTTAATTGTTGGAGTTCCAGAAGTAAGTAAATATGGACCACCAGATGAAGAACTATTCTTTGATTGAGTCAAATACCCTCTTCTTTTTTCTTTTTTCTTTTTTTTGTTTCATGTAGTAGCTACAAACAGCATTGGATCAAGAATCAGATCCGATGCACAAGATAGGGAAGAGCCAGCAACCAGTTCTGGACAAGCGGCATGATATTTTGATCCTCGGGAGGATACATGGCTTTCATGATCTGGAAATGTGCAGGGCATGGACGGTTTTTTGGTGACTGGGTTTTGGGGACTAGGCTCAAAGTGACCCTTGAAATATTTTTATGCAAACAGTAGCAGTGGCTGCTCCATAACATGAGAAGGGACATTTGGATTGAGATCGTGACTGTTACAGTCCATGGCCTTAGGGATTAGAAGGTTTAGCTGGATCAGAGACAGAACACAGATGGGATCATGGGATGGAGCCTGTTCAGATATGAGAGCAGTTTTTCTGAGTAGCTTAAGTGAATTACTTAGTATTTACTAGCCGTTAATGATGATAACATGCATGTATTTTAGGTACAAGAATAGCTATGACATGAATCTGAAAATTAATTGCTACAAATTCCAATGGGCTTTTAACTACTAATTCCTACAGTTATTTAGGCACACAATCATAACAAAAATAATATGTACGAATTAAAAAGTATATATTGTATCAAAAGTAAATACTTGAGATATTATCTTCATTTTATTATCTTTTTTTGATTCATATCTTCATTTTATTAACTAACATGCCATTAAAATAAAATTCAATATATAAAATAAACCATAAATATTTATATGATGGTACCCATGCTATGAATGGGCCAAATGTTTAGTTTTGCATTACTAATTTATAATATTGTTATTATATTCCTAAGTATCATTTCATTAAGGGTGATTTCATTAGTTTGGAACATACACTGGTGTTGACTAGTTGAATCTGAGAGTATCACATAAAGCTTAATACTGTGTTGTTCTACTTGCTACAGATTTTCTATTGTAAAATTTAAGAAGTTTGTAAATTGTTTCAGAGTCAGTTTTGTTTTGGTCTCTTATGCTTGGGATTGTGTTTTTTTTTTCTTTTTTTTTTTTATGTTTCTTAGGTACAAGGTATCTAGTTATGACAATGAGACCAATGAATGGTTTAGTGAAGCCATCGGCAAAACTTGCTCACTGTTACGGTATTCTAGTTTCAATCAGGATTTTATGCTAAATAAGATCAAAGGCCCAGTCACATGTAGAGATGCGAAGAACAAACTTAATTTTTCCAATGAAGCACAGTTCCTACTTGTATCTGAGGAAAGTGTTTCTGACCTAAACAGAAGATTAAGCTCAGGTATGCTCTTGTACCCATTTTCTTATATAATATACCAGTCCTTGGCTTTTTTACTTCAATTTCATTATAGAATGCAAAAGAAGATTTTGATTACTGTTTAATGAAATTTAAAAAACTATTTCATGATGCTTAATCAGTTTCATTGTTGCTTATTAATTTGATTATTTTAAATTCATAATAATACAAAGGAGATTTTAATGTAAGAATCAAAATAGAAAGACATTTGAAACTCCTTATAAAAAAATAAATTTTCCTTTCAATTTTGTCACAATACTTGGTCTATATTGTATATTCCACTTTTTCTGTTTTAAGTAGCATAGGCTCAGGTTCTTATCATAGACTTAGATGTATTGTATCTTTACCCTTTTCTGTTATGATTCTGTTAGGGTTCAGTTGCAACTGAACTATATAATCTTTACTATAAATACTTGTTAGCAATTATTGTAGACTCAGTTCAGAAATATATTGGCTTCTTCTACGAGCTTTCTCTCTCTCTCTCTCTCTCTCTAATAGAGTTGAGAGAGAAAGAGAGAGAGAGAGAGCAGAATTGAGAAGATGAGAGAAAATTGTCAATAGGCAAAATACTTTTTCATTAACTGACTAAGAAAAACATACTAGACAGGTTTATATAGAGCCAATTTATATTGGTCTATATTAACAGTAATAAATGTGTACATATAATTAAGGAGTAAAACTATACTCCAATATCCCCGCGCAAGCTCAAGTAGGATGAGGAGACTCGACTACTTGGAGCTTGGACCGAACGCCGAACTGCAAAGGTGAGAGAGCTTTGGTGAGGACATCAGCACATTGATCAATGGCTGGAACATGAACAACTTGAAGACACTTGGCAGCTACTTTCTCTCGAACAAAGAAAAGATCTAATTCCATGTGCTTGGTACGTGCATGAAGAACATGGTTGTGAGCAAGGGCCACAGTGCTCAAGTTGTCACAGAAGATGATTGGCGTGGAATGATTCACTTTAAGCTCAGAGAGTAACGTTTGTATCCAAGTAACTTCAGCTGTGGCAAGAGCAAGACTTCTATATTCTGCTTCAGTACTGGAACGAGCAACAACAGTTTGCTTTTTGGACCACTAAGACACAAGATTTGGTCCAAGAAAGATGGAAGCACCAGATGTGGATCGCCTATCATCAGGATCAGATGCCCAGTCAACATCACAATAGGCATGAATGGAAAGAGAGGAGGAGGAAGAAGCTGGTTGCAGATGAAGACCCCAAGAGGTAGTTCCCTTCAGATACCGAAGAATACATTTAACAGCAGACCAATGATGTGCAAGAGGATGAGACATGAATTGACAAACTTTATTTACAGAGAAGCTAATTTCAGGTCTTGTGATGGTCACCAACAACTGAACGATAGAGAGACGCATCCAATAAATCTTCAGAACCTGCTTTTGATAGTTTGCTGCAAGGAATCATTGGAGAAGAAATAGGTTTCGACGCTTCCATATCAGTGCGGTTTAAGAGGTCTCTGATGTATTTACTTTGAGTGAGGATGAGGGAACCATCAGACTAAGCTTTGACTTCAATGCCAAGGAAATAATCAAGGTCACCTAGATCTTTGAGAGAGAAGACTGAATGGATTTGAGAGACAAGTGTATGAAGGATAGTGGAATTATTGCCAGTGATGATAATGTCATCAACATACACCAAGAGGTAGATGACATTGTTAGCATGGGAGTATACAAATAAAGACGGGTCACATTTACTTGCTTGGAAGTTAAACTGCAGTAGAGTTGATTTAAGCTTTTCAAACCAAGCACGAGGTGCTTGTTTGAGCCCATAGATGGCTTTGTGAAGTTTACAGACGAGATTTTTATCAGAAGCTTCAAATCCTGGGGGTTGGTTCATATACACTTCCTCTTCAAGAGTGCCATTGAGAAATGCATTATTAACATCTAGTTGTTGAATAGGCCAATGATGGGTTAAGGCAATAGTGAGAATGAGCCGAACAGTGACAGGTTTGATGTTTCATGATAGTTGAAGCCAAACTGTTGATTAAACCCTTTGGCAACAAGGCGGGCTTTGTAATTTTGAACAGTGCCATTAGGATTTTCTTTGACACGGAAGACCCACTTACAACCTATGGCAGTTCGATGCGGTGGGAGAGGAACAAGAGACCAGGTACCATTGTGAAGGAGGGCATTATATTCAGTCTGCATGGCAGCAGTCCAGGTAGGATTAGATAAGGCTTGTTTGGTTGTTTTGGGTTCAACGTGAGTTAATAGAAGTGTGGGTTGCAGGCGTGGTTTGACTATTCCATATTTTGCACCCGTGGCAACAACTCGTGTGGTGGAGGATTTAGAGGTTAAGTTTGGTGAGGTTGCAAGTGTGAAAGGCGCGGCTTCCATAGTGGATGGGGTTGGGTTAGTGGGAGAGGGACCGGTCTCATGTGAGGACGTTGCTGAGAGGTTGGATGAGGAGGTTTGAGTAGGGGTTATAGTGAGAGGAACTTGAATAGGGTTTGGGGAGTTGTGGACAGTGGAAGGGGAGAGGAGATCCTTGTAGGGAAACTGTGTTTCATTAAACACAACATCTTTAGAGATGTAGGGATGCCCGTCAGCTGCAAGACATTTGTAGCCTTTGTGAGAAGTGGAATATCCCAGAAAAACACATTCTTGGGATTGAAATTGAAGTTTGTTTTTGTTGTAGGGTCGAAGATGTGGGAAACAAGAACAGCCAAATACTTTAAGAAAGTGATAATCTGGTGGTTGGTGGAAAAGGCAGTGATATGGAACATCGTTTTGAATAGAGGAAGAGGGAAGTCGGTTGATAAGATAGACGCTGGTGAGAAAGGCATGGTCCCAGAATTGCATAGGTAAGTCAGCCTGAGCTAACAAGGTGAGGCCAAGTTCAACAATGTGCCTATGTTTTCGTTCAACAACCCCATTTTGATGATGTGTGTGGGGACCTATGTGACGATGTTGGATGCCAACATCGTTGAGATAGGTTGTAAAGGGGCGATACTCACCACACTCATCAATCTGCACTGCTTTGATCGGGAGGTGTTATTGTTTTTTAACCATAGCATGAAACTGCTTGAAGATACCAAGGGTTTGGGCTTTATTTTTGAAAAGGTAGATCCACATAAAGCGTGTGTGCGCATCAACAAAAGTAAGATAGTATCGATAGCCACACGTAGATGTGGCTGGTGCAGGTCCCCACAAATCGCTGAAAACCAATTCAAATGGTGTATTGTAAACAGTTTTGGACAGATTAGAATGTAATCTATGAGATTTACCAAGACAGCAAGAAGTACAAAAATTTGAATTATTATTGTTCACAGATTGAATGTTGAAGTTCCGGAAAACAAGTTTCATTACATCAGCATTAGGATGACCTAATCTGGAGTGCCAAGTGGCAAAAGAAATAGAGTTCTTTGCTGCTGTGTTAATGGAAGAGACTCTAGCAGGTTGACGATGCTGGACAGGTTGTGTGTTGGTGGTGGGGATAAGAGCAGGAAATTTGTACAGGCCATCAGGACCAACCGAGCCTTGAAGAAGAACTTCTTTAGTATCCTGTGATTTCACCAAGCAAACGGAGGGGTGAAATTCAAAGTATACCGAATTATCTTTGGAGAATTGACTAACGCTTATTAGATTTTTGGTGATGGAGGGAACAAATAGGAGATTGTTTAGAGCAAAGTGAAACTTAGGATTGGTTGGAGAGGGAAAAGTGGTAACACCTGCGGAATTAATGTGAAGCCCTTGTCCATTACCAATGTGGATCTGATCGGGTCCTTCAAAGGGGGTAAATCGTTGAATATTTTGAGAGACATTAGTGACATGATTTGAAGCACCAGAGTCCGGATACCATGTGTTGTTAACAGAAGAAGAGGATGAGGCAATCATGGCCTGAGGATGCGCCTGGGTAGCGGTGAAATGCACTTGAAGGGTAGGTTGAGGTCTAGGTCCAAGAATGCCATTTTGATGGAGTGGAGGAGGAGTGATTTGATTGCTGTACCAAGAACCTGTATATGCAGTTTGGTTGGTAGAAGGGTGTGGGAGTGCATCGAGTGAGGCGGATGGAACAAAGGTCTCATCGAACCTATAATAACAGGAGGAAGCAATATGCCCATACCGATGGCAGACTGGAACCCAGCGAATCTGCCTCTTCCACGACCTGCACAGTTAGAGAAACGACCACCATGGAAGTTAGTGCGACCCCCACGTCGTTGAGAAAAGGAAGGCCGATTTTCTTGATGGGCAAGATTAGCTTGTGGGTGCGCGAGAGACAGATTGGGTTCGAGAGTGGTTGTGGTGACGTTGAGCGAGACAGCAACTTTCTTCTTGAACTTGTCAAGACGGGATTCATGGCCAAGAAGCAAGGTCTCGACTTCTTCTATGGACAAAAGGTCAAAACGGCTACTGATGAGAGACACGGTGGATTCATATTCTTCGGGTAAGCCTTCAAGAATGATATCAAGGTGTTCTTTTGGAGAGACAGAGTCACCAATGGCTGTAAGAGTGTCAACAAGGGTTTGAATCTGAAGCACATAGTCAGAAATTGTCTGATTTTCAAGATTGGTACTACGAAGTTCATTACGAAGTTGTCGGGCTTTAGCATTCATATGAGAGTGGAAGTAGGAATGTATTTTGTCCCAAAGTTGAAAGGATGTTTTGCAGCCTATAACCCGAGTGAGCATGTCTTTGGACATGGAGGATTGCAGCCAGGAAAGCAGCAATTGATCTTGTTGTTCCCAGGCAAGATAAGGTTCAGAGATGCGGCCAACAT